TGATCACATCTACCTATAGGAAAATGACACCTATCGCGGCATTTCTATATAAGCTGTATTCAGTATTATTCAGCAGCTTTTTAGCTTGCTTCGGAGCAAATTACCCTCCTCCATCCCCAGCTCCACCTTTTGCCACAGTCAGGACTTAGCTTTCTGATATTCCTTGCTAATCAGACTCCTTTATCTTGAATAAAGTGTTACACTTAAATATCATTGAGTACATTAATGATATCTGCCTTGTTCTGTTCTGTTAACCCTGGGGGGGTTATTATTGTTGCTCTCCCTGCTCATTCATGACAGGCTGCATGGATGGGCAGGGAGGTTTTTTGCCCAGAACAGAACCATACCGCCAAACCAAACTTTATGCTAAGTATCTATCATTTTGACGATAGTGGTCCTGACAGAAATGAAATTCTGTCATTAATTACTCACCCTCATTTTGTTCCAAACCCGTAAGACCTTCATTTATCTTCAGAACACAAATTAAGATATTTTTGATCAAATCCGAGAGCTCTCTGACCCTCCGTAGACAGCAATGCAACTACAATGTTCCCAGAAACGTAGCAAGGACATCGATAAAATAGTCCATGTGACATCAGTGGTTCAACCGTAATTTTACGAAGCTACGAGAATACTTTTTGTGAGCAAAGAAAACAATAATAACATAATTTATTCAACAATTCTTCTCCCCGAATGACCGACTTCAGCGATTTTGGAGAGTACCCCAAAACGTAATAAACGTAATCAGCGTTGTTTATGTTCAGTAGACAGCTCACGCATGCTGAACGTAAACAACGCTGATACGTTGTTTACGTTCAGTAGATACTCTCCAACGACATGAGGGTGAGTAATTAATGACAGAATTTTCATTTTTGAGTGGACTAACCCTTTAATATAGAACGGTAATTAAAGGCTCTAATGCACACCAGGGGTAGGCGTAGGGGTAGGTGTATAAAATAGAATTGGGATTGGGCCTTAGTATTAGCGTGATGGTGACCTCTGGTGACTATCGGGGGGAACCACAGAGGCCTGCTTTGTGAAAGGTGAACAATTAATCAATCAGAAAAGAAATAACATAACTCAGGACATGAAAGTATTCTCAGGAGAAATATTAGTGCAGTCTTACTAAAATGCTTCAATAACTTCAAGGCGATAACTACATAAGAGCTCAATCTAACTTAATCCTTCACAGGCCCTGGGAATATCCAGGGAATTTCTTTCAAAATCACAGTTTCACAACCAATGGAATTGCACAGGGAGAATAAAATGATCTTAGTGTCTTTCGCAGGCATGGAGTACAGGGAAAAGAGCATGAGGTGACACACAATAATGTTCAAGGCCAGCCAAAAACTTGTTTGTGACTGCAGTGAATGAAGGGAGCCAAACAGTGAATTAACAATCTACATGTGTGGCTTATTAGAACCCTGGGGAGTGTGAGTAATTGAGAGATGGAGAGAAAGAGTCCAGTGTGCTCATGACAGATACATTTAATGACAAACTATAATACTCACAGAAAATTAGCTGACTCACTTATTGCTTATCTCAAAGCTTGTATCCCACTGGACATAAACACCATTTCGCATTTCTTTGGAATGTGTTAATGACTGTCCGTTGACCACATTTTAAACTACTACAATTCAAATTCCACTGATTGCCATTTAATTTAGGAAGCCAATCATTTACTTCTGTTCTCTTGATGCGGGTCACCAAGAAGCATAATGAAGACAATTTCCTGTGTGTCCTAAAAAAGAGAAGCAGACACATCATGAGGTATGAAACTCAGACACTAAAACACTGCACATACTGTACATATCCACTGCACAATAAAAACAGAACAGGAAACAGCTTGTTAGTTTGCTAGGATATAAACATAGCCAAACTAAAGCTAAAAATTTGGTTGAATTACTGAATTTTTACTCACTGCGATTTGTGATCAATGACTGTCTACTCTACAATATAATGGGAGTATCTTACTTTTCTGTTGGAATAGTGTTTTGCATATTCAAAAAGGAGGAGTGATGGGTTTCTGGGAAGCATCAATTGCTCCAGCACATTGAGGGAAGCCACAACTCTACTGCTGGTGTTGTGATCAAATCAGGCGATGGATTGAAAACAGGAATGTGTTTCCATTTAGTCCACCAAAACACATCATAATACCAGGTGTCATCTGGCCCATGCGTGCACCTTCACCTGGGACCCTTGAGTTCAACGTATACTTTGGTTTTTACACTAAGTTAAGTTGTGAGTACAGTGTGAGTGACATAAATATCTTCTTCTGCATACATGTATACTAAAAATATAAAGATAATTTTACAACAAAATTCAAAATGGCTGGCTCCAAATGGTCAACCCAGGAACAACTGATATCATTATGACAAAAAGAAAGTATAGGAAAACAGTACTGTAATAAAAGAGGATGAATGGTTGTGATCAAATGAAGAGTGGAGCCGACAGACTGGATCCCTCATAAAACTAGGGATTGGCATTTTTCAAAAATATTGTTTTGGAATATTCGTTTATTTAAATTAGGTTTAAAGAGAAAGACAATATTTTTTAATAATCAATTTTTTTTGTCACCATTTCTGAACACGCTTATGATTAGACATTATACACAATTTTCTACAACAACATTACGCTATATCTCAAGGTTTTCTTTTAGTTGAAAACGTGTAAAAAAAAAACACATATATAAAGAACAAAAGCATTCAAGCTCAAGCAGAGCAAATGGAAAAATAAAGCAGACCGTGCCAATTACAGTACAGAACGTACTGAATGTGAATTCAGTGATGGACAGCTGTCCTATGATAACTCAGTTTCACCGATTCATTTGATCAAAAGTAATTCCATTTTGTAAGATCATTTTGATCAAAGTTATTCCAAACTTCTTGAGGCAAACGACGACATTCTGTGATCAAATACAATACACTTGTTAACACACTCCACAGTGCCACCCAGTGCATTTAGCTATAACTTCTTAGGCTTTATAATGGAGTCCCTGCATTTACGGCCAGCAAAGTCAAATTTAGAATTATTCGAATAGTGGTTTTATTTTTCAAATAATAATTACAGATCAAATATTAATCTATTTTTGCACACCCTTGGATAAAACACTGAGGGCTATGATTGGTCTGTTTCCTGTTGTGTTATAAGGACCTAAGCTAAACTTTAGTTTAGTTTAGTTTACCACTTTTATTAATCCCACAGGGGGCAATTATAATGAAACAACACATAACAGACTTATCTCAGACATAAAAACACATAAGCCACAGCCATATCACCCTGCAGCCCAAGACTGGTTGCCCACTGAAGCTAAGCAGAGTTGAGCCTGTTTACCTTTCCTTTCATGGGGGAACTAGAGAACAATGTTTCTTTCTGTAGGTAAAGGTCAGTAGGCCTTGGAGTCTGAGAAATGTTTCTAAGCTGGGAAGTAAAGCATATGAAGAGTTTGGTTCCAAAATGCTATAAATCCATTTTGATTAATTTGAGTAAAAATGTGTTTTCTTTACCAAGATCAAGATCATGCGTGCACCTTCACCTGGGACCCTTGAGTTCAACGTATACTTTGGTTTTTACACTAAGTTAAGTTGTGAGTACAGTGTGAGTGACATAAATATCTTCTTCTGCATACATGTATACTAAAAATATAAAGATAATTTTACAACAAAATTCAAAATGGCTGGCTCCAAATGGTCAACCCAGGAACAACTGATATAATCTTATTAATAGCTTACGTTTCTTCCCCACCGCAGAAACCACCACAGGCTCATCAATGCCATCAAAATTATTCTTTTTTTATTTAGGGCTGCACGATAAATCGCATGTGATTGTCATGCGCAATCTGTCAGCAAAGCTGGTTCTGTGATTAGTAGTAAATCTCCATCATGTGCTTTCAGATGGAGCGGCATTTAATACACAGAGCCGTAGTTCACTGACAGCCTACGCAATATCGCGTTCATAATCAAAGGCGATTCATCTGCAATTATGAATGCGATATTGCGTAGCTTGTCAGTTACTGTTTACAATGCGTGGAATGGTGCACTGTGATTGGTTGAGCGGATGTATCGCATTCTGCAGAGAAGGGAGACTGGCGTTTGTCACGGTTTGGAAAGATAGGGAGAAAACATGACAGAATAGCACGGCGGATATCGCATTTTGCGTAAAATTAAAAATTGACTTTTCAATACCGACCAGATACAATACTAATTGTGGCGGGAACTAAATTTTTTTTTTTTAAATGACGTTTATCGCGTTTTGGAACCAAACTTCATATTATGGTACCTTGAGGATGACTAAGGTTGATAAAGACTGGAAGTGTATAGGTATGTAAAAAGGAATATGATTTTACTGAATAAAGGAGGATGATTTTACTGAATAAATACTCTGTATTCTGGAAAACCTTACCTCTGGTCACTCAGAATATTACATTGTGCACTTCAAATCAGTGAGCCTGAAAAGAACGTGTGTCCAAATGGGACACTATTAGGAACAATGACTGTGAGTTCAAACTGTAAATCAAATGAGTCATTTTTAAACTTCAGCTACTTTATTAAAATATGTTATATTATGTCTTTAGTTAATAGGAGATTCGTAGTCTACTGTATGTGCATAACCTCCTGCTGGACTTATTTGACCTAAACAATTAATTTTTTTACATTTCTATTTCTTATTACTATTACTTGTTTCTTTTCTCTGTTCTAATACACATCTACAAAGATTTTGCAGACAGTCCCACTGGCACCATTAATGTGGCTAAGTGCAGCAAATTACCTCAATGTATATTGTAGTTGTTTTGAGCATAAAATGGTTAGTTTATAGTTTATATTATCTATTTTTTTTTTTTTTTTGTGATTTCCATTCTATTCATCACCACCTACTAAATTATTAGATCTCTAAGATTTATGTCTAGTAAACACTCTACTTTATGCTCTTCCTGCATCTGTTATGTTTATTTACACTTTTCTCTTTTCTCTCTAATGTAATTGTGGAAAAACTAAACATGTTTGTACTTCAGACTCCTCTGGCATCCACAGAGCCCCTCACAGACTGGAGCAGAGGATCTAAACCCTTCATTGTGTGGCGGCCATTAGTCCATTATCCTCTGCTCTTTCTGTAGGTGATCAGGAAGCTGTTCTCTGCACCTAAACCACGCTGACTAATTATCACCGATGACATTTACTGACATCAACATTTCTAAAGGCTGTTTAACTGCGGGAGGTAAGACAATGTCTTACTGGCAGTCCATCAGACCTGCGGGTCCCAGCATACACAGAGCCGAATCCGCCTCGCCCCAGCAATGGGCCCTTCACATACGCTTCTGCAACACACAAGATCACAAGAAACGTCTTTAACAGAAAACATGCTGCAGCATCTAAACCTGATACAGAATGTTACTGTAATTCAGCTGAAGAGCATTTTCAGTGGCAAATCATTCAGTGAGTCTTTAATAAGGTGTTTAACACCAGTGTATTCTGACCTCTGCGGGAGCGTTTGGCAGGTCTTCTGTATGAGGGGCACGGACACTCATCCTCCTGGCTGCCACTCTGCCACTTCCTCTTCCTACGAGGCTGATCTGTGGACACAGAAACGGCCAACTCTGAAGGCAGAGGTGCGATGTATCCAGGCAGCTCTTGGCTCAGTGGCTGGTTTGGGTTTGGCAGCGGCTCCTGAGCGCCGTCACCAGAGCCGCGTGTCCCAACCTCCTGAGCAGCCGTCTGGGAGACAGCAGCACTCCTGGATCTGCAGCGGCCCGAGCCTGCAATATTTCACACATCAGCCTTTATTAGGAACATGTATTCATAATCAACCACCAATGCCCTGGTCACATCAAATTATGTTACTTTACATTGTTACACATTCTATTGGGTCTTGAACTGTATTTGAGCAGCTCTGTAGTTTGCCAGCATTATAACTGTGTCAAAGAATTAAACACATATTTCACTGATTTTCATATACAAGGAATAAAATACATGTGATCACTGAGCTAGTAGAACGAGGTGAGTGTTTTAAGTTTCTTTTGTTTATTATTGGTATGTCATGGTATGATGCTGTGCATTGTTTGAATGAACTGATGTGAAGAAATGTGTGCAGGCTAACTCATTTAATCACACATTTCTACTAGCTCAGTGATCACATGTATTTTATTCCTTGTATATGAAAATCAGTGAAATATGTGTTTAATTCTTTGACACAGTTATAATGCTGGCAAACTACAGAGCTGCTCAAATACAGTTCAAGACCCAATAGAATGTGTAACAATGTAAAGTAACATAATTTGATGTGACCAGGGCATTGGTGGTTGATTATGAATACATGTTCCTAATAAAGGCTGATGTGTGAAATATTGCAGGCTCGGGCCGCTGCAGATCCAGGAGTGCTGCTGTCTCCCAGACGGCTGCTCAGGAGGTTGGGACACGCGGCTCTGGTGACGGCGCTCAGGAGCCGCTGCCAAACCCAAACCAGCCACTGAGCCAAGAGCTGCCTGGATACATCGCACCTCTGCCTTCAGAGTTGGCCGTTTCTGTGTCCACAGATCAGCCTCGCAGGAAGAGGAAGTGGCAGAGCGGCAGCCAGGAGGATGAGCGTCCGTGCCCCTCATACAGAAGACCTGCCAAATGCTCCCGCAGAGGTCAGAATACACTGATGTTAAACACCTTATTAAAGACTCACTGAATGATTTGTCACTGAAAATGCTCTTCAGCTGAATTACAGTAACATTCTGTATCAGGTTTAGATGCTGCAGCATGTTTTCTGTTAAAGACGTTTCTTGTGATCTTGTGTGTTGCAGAAGCGTATGTGAAGGGCCCATTGCTGGGGCGAGGCGGATTCGGCTCTGTGTTTGCTGGGACCCGCAGGTCTGATGGACTGCCAGTAAGACATTGTCTTACCTCCCGCAGTTAAACAGCCTTTAGAAATGTTGATGTCAGTAAATGTCATCGGTGATAATTAGTCAGCATGGTTTACTGTGCTTCATCTGTCTACAGGTTGCCATCAAATACGTCTCTAAAAGAGGAACACAGAGACTGAGAGTTGTAAGTTCGGAGTGAATCTGTTGCTCTGTTTCGTCTGATTCAGCGCTGGATATAACGGAGCATTTGTCCTGCAGGAAGGTCAGGGTCGGCTGCCGCTGGAGGTGGCGTTGATGACCCTGGTTAATTCGGCTCCTGCCTGCCCCAACGTCCTGCAGCTGCTGGAGTGGTTTGACCGTCCCGGACGCTACACCATGATCTTGGAGCGCCCGCTTCTTTGCCAAGATCTGGAGAGTTTCTGTGAGGAGAACGGACGCCTGGAGGAGAGCCTGGCCAAGAAAGTGCTGCTGCAGCTGATCACGGCGCTGAGACACTGCGAGAGCCGTGGAGTCCTGCACCGGGACGTCAAACCAGAGAACCTGCTGATCTCCACAGACTCACATGACATCAAGCTGCTGGACTTCGGCTGTGGAGATCTGCTGAAAGACTCGGCCTACAAACACTTTGCTGGTTGGTTTGATCTCACTGCAGTGATCTGTGTTTGTTTGTGGACTTTTGATGATCGACCGAAGGGAATCTGTTTGGACTGGAGCCTCTTCAGATGATGGTTGTGGTCTTGTTGGGTCTCTTGCAGGCACTCTTCAGTACGCCCCTCCTGAGTGGTTTCGGCGGCACCGCTATCATGCGGGACCGGCTACGGTTTGGTCAGTGGGGGTGACGCTCTACAACATCCTGTGCGGCTGTTTCCCCCTCAGAGGCGCATTGAGGGTCACCTCCAAAAGCAGACTGCACTTCCCTGGAGAGCTGTCGACAGGCAAGAGACAGAAATCACGTCCAGATCCAGGTGAAGCGTGTGGTTTTGTGTTCCTGAACACTGTGTTGTGTGTAACAGAGTGCCGTCAGCTGATTCGCTGGTGCCTCAGTGCAGCAGCATCAGATCGGCCCAGTTTAGACGACATTGAGCGCCACCCCTGGTTACACTGAGCAGGTGGCCAGTGACACACACTTATCTGACTCACAGCAGTCATGGCTGGATTGTCTTGTTAGGATCAGACTAGATAAATGCTTCTGATTGTTTGTATAGGGTGAGCAGGAGTGACACAGGAAGTGCAGAGAACAGCTTCCTGATCACCTACAGAAAGAGCAGAGGATAATGGACTAATGGCCGCCACACAATGAAGGGTTTAGATCCTCTGCTCCAGTCTGTGAGGGGCTCTGTGGATGCCAGAGGAGTCTGAACACACAGCGCCAGCTGAAACCACAGCCCGACAGGCCAGAGATCAATATGTGTAGTTTCTCCACAATTAAAGTAGAGATATGCGAGAAAAGTGTAAATAAGCAGAACAGGATCAGAAAGAGACTGGGGCAGAGTGTTAACTAGCATAATGTATTAATGTTAAAAAGTCCACTTGGCTTTAGACACAGAATGTAAGTCACCAAAAAACTAAAGACAATTTTTATCATCGGAATGTTCGTTTAAACAAATAATATTTGTTGAGGAAACTTAACAGACCAATTTTAAACTCAAATAACCGCACCACACTACAAACACTACTAAACAAAATTACACATTAAAAACAATTCATTTCAACATTTACTCTCCTAATGCAGTACCATGTAAAGCATGCTGGGAATTACTGATCTACTCCCCAGTTAGTTACGTCAACAAAGTGAATCAAGTAGTCCCCACAATGTTTACAAAATAGAAATGTTGAAATTTTACAAATTTAAATGTATTGAATATAATTAAATCAAATTGTGACAAAATGTTCAAGAGTTGCTTTGCTTTGGCTCATTTTAACAAAGTTAATTAGTTCTTAATAAATCGGTCTTAATAATTAGATTTTGAAAAATCTTTATTTATTTATTTATTGATTGATTGCATGCTGTCCTAGAGCCATTAAAATAATTGATTACATGATTACATTTTTACACAATGACAATAAATTGTTCATAATTTATTGATTCTCCCTGAATTTTCATTTTTTTATCTTTTGAATTGATCTTTTTGAAATAGCATACTGCTTATATACATTCAGAAAGTCTTCCAGTTTTACGTTCATGTGGCAATAATTATAAATTGAGAGGCAACACAGAATTTGACCACTGGATTTACAAAAATCTTCTAAATTTTAAGAAGTTTTTTTAACATTTCAACATTGCATCAGTTACTGACGAACACATTCATTTTTATTTTAATTATCATTCAGTGGTAATGTTATGCTTAATGCACTTCATGTTGTTAATAACAGTGAATGGAATACTGTATATGTGACCCTGGAGCACAAAAGCAGTCTTAAGTCGCTGGGGGATATTTGTAGCAATAGCCAACAATACATTGTATGGGTCAAAATTATAGATTTTTCTTTTATGCCAAAAATCATTAGGATATTAAGTAAAGATCATGTTCTTTAAAGATCATTTTGTACCGTAAATATATCAAAACAAAAAATTACTTTTCAATATAAAAAAATTCATGTCAATATCAACATCAAAAAAATCATTTTGGATTAGTAGGACTTAATTTGGACAACTTTAAAGATGATTTTCTCAATATTTAGATTTTTTTGTACCCTCAGATTCCAGATTTTCAAATAGTTGTATCTCGGCCAAATATTGTCCCATCCTAACAAACCACACATCAATGGAAAGCTATTTTTGAATGAATTAATCTCGGTTTCAAAAAATTTAACCTTATGGTCCTGGGTCACATATTTTCTTTCTCTTTATATTTTTATATCAATATACTAAAAGATTATCCTATTTAAATCGATCTGATAAATGAGTTAGGTCAAACGTAATCTTAAAGTAATCAAAAAGTACTCTGATTATATTACCTAAAATGTGTAATGTAATGGATTACATTACTAACTACAATTTTGTCATGTAATTTGGAATCAGTAACAGACTACAATTTGCAAGTAATCTACCCAGCTCTGTCTATCAGTCTGTCTCTTGAAAGTCATGCAAAAAGTGGAGAAGAAGAGACTTTTTTTTTACATAGCTAAAAATATAATACTAAAAATATATATAATACCACTTCAGGCACTTTATGTTCATGGAATTCTTGTTTAATCACAATTCATTTTGGTGTAAAGTGTACTAAAATAGTTAGGTATTAGCCTGAATGTAAAGTGTTGCACATTGTATTGATACATATGATCATTTAGCAGACGCTTTTATCCAAAGCGACTTGCACACACTTTGTGGTCTTCATACCCAGATCAGGCCAATCAACAGTAATGTAGTAGAAATATCCCCATCTAATGGTGAACTCTACTAGAATACATCACGCATATGGTAATTAAGTATCAAAACACATTAAAATGCTTAATTTGTGACATTACCTGCACAGTAGAGAATGAATGGTTTAATAGTGGTGCAGAGCATGAATCAGCCCTATACAAAACACAAGGTAATAGACAAAGGCATCATAATTAAGCTTGATGAAAACAGATTTCAATTAATTTCATCTGCCTGAAACAAGGCATTTGAAGATAACACTGAGTGTTTCTTAATATGTTGAACACAAAAATACTAAACAGTTGAACAATAATGATTGTGTTTTAATGTTTACCAGTAAATTTCTTGAGTAGCCTACTCAAAGTGTGAAAAATGCCCTCTCCATTTCCCACTGAATCTGCTGTTGGAAACCCTTAATACACAAGCCTACATACACTTATAACCGATAGATGGCGCTGTCCCTATTTATACAATAATTGAACTTTTAACTTGTTTACTTTGCATTACATGAGACCTTACATTTAATCCCTCAAATTATACTGAATACAGACCAAAACATAAATAAATTCTATGAATTGTGAAATGTGTGAGATATCCCCAAATGTACACTCTAAAAAATGCTGGGTTAAAAACAACCCAACTTAGGTTATTTGGCAACCCAGCTGGGTAAATATTGAACACATGCTGGGTTATTTTGCCCCAGCTGGTTGGGTTAAACGTTTTTACCAAACATGCTGGGTTGTTTTAAGTAAACTATTGTTTAAAAATTATAATATCGTTGCCTTAAAATGGGCTGAAAAAAAATCACACAGAATTACTAGAGGCAACAGCAATAAACAAAAGATGAACATTTATTATTAAGTAAGAACACATGGATGAAATACAAGACAAATTTTATTTATTTGGGTGAATACAGCATAGTTTACAATATTACATATATTTAAACTCGTACAACATGCATTTTATAAAAAATGTAACATTTAAAAGTAGCATTTTAATTTAAGTGTATTCAACCCTTCTCTATAATCGCTTTTTACCGAAACATTGCTAATTCTCGTGGCGGTGCATCGATGAAATTGAGCCGGTGAAGGGCTGCTGTTCGCCGGGGAACTGCGAACTTCAGACCGCGGCCTTGCGTTTCACTCATAGCTGAGAGATGCCGTGATGGACTCTAAAACCTGCCCATAAACAAACACAGATTAAAGAACATATTTTAACATCAAATTAAATTAAACTCAGTATTGTAATGAAAAAAATTCAATTTGTTATGCAAGGTAAAAGGCGTTTCCATCGTGCGAAACGACTGCTTCTGACGCAGCTGACTGACATCTCGTCCTTATGTTGCGTTGCACAAAATAATACAATTTACAGCACAGTGAAGACTTTAAAGATGAAATAAAATGTATACAAAATAAAGCACTTATTTTGCTGAAGAAGTGCACGAAATCGGCGGCGCTGAGAACCGCTCTCTCCTGTAGAGGACTCAAAAAGCCTGTGCTCTTACTTTAACTCAGCAGCTGCGTTGTTTATATAATATATACAGTATATATATATAAAAAAAAATAACCCAGCATTAAGTGTG